GTGGAGGGGAGCTACTAGGTACATATTTTGTAAAAGATTTTTTTTACAAATATACGTGATTTAAATCAAAATTACTGAATTTTAAAAAAAAAGTAAAGGAGTATGTCTTTTAACATTTTTCTACATTTTAGAGCAAAAAATGTTTTTTCCTAGTTCAAAAAATAGAGAAAAAGTTTTGCCTCCAAACCCAATGGTAATAATACATTATAAATAGGGATTGTTGAGGGTGAACCAGAAAAAAGATTAGGTTAAGTCGAATCTAAGTGATGTATGTATGTTAGGAATTTAAACCGCATCATGTAAAATATAATATTCAAATAAATATGATAGAAAAATTATTTCACATCTCATTAAATCTAAATTTTGATTAATATTAAAGGATAACATGTTTTGATGATATGTTATATGTCGAGAATCTATCAAAAATAATATTTCTATTTTATATAATATGAATAAGATTCGAAGACATTCTATTTTTTAGAGTGAAATGTATTATTGTTATTTAATCAAAAGCATATATATTATTATAATAATTGTCCAAAATCCTTGTCCCTAGGAGATGCTCAAGGCTTTTAAGTCATTTACAGCCATTTGAAGTGAATCAAAACCTGACAACCTTAAAAGCCATCTTGAGAAATGTGTAAAATAAAAATAGAGATAAAACTTTATAATATAAATAAAAAAATAATCAAATTATTAGCAATTTGTCATATTCATAAATTAAGCTGCAAAAATGTACTTGCATAAATAAATAGCTCAAATTAATTAATTAAGTAGCAAGTCTCTCAAAGCTCAATATTACAAACTTAAAAATCATACAGTATAATACATTTATTTTTTTCTAATAATATGACATAGAACAATTAACACTAGTAGAATATTGTGCCCTCCAAAAAATTTGGGCTAGATTTCCTTCCACAATATTTTCTTCACAATATCCCATAAGCTTCACATAATTACTTCCCACCAACTATTAATGACAAATTACAATACTAAAAAATGAAAGAAAAAAAAAAGATTTAGGAGAAATGAGAATTCCTTTTATCCTATTGAAGTTAGTTTTTGAAGAAATTAAAATCCAAACAAACCCCCCACCAATAAAGTACACTACAAGAAAATCACAAAAACAAACAAACATAAATCAAGATTAATTATAGTCTAGTGATACCAGTGACAGTCTTTATCACGTAATAAGCATATTCGATTCTCACTATACCCTTCTCACTTTCCTAATCCCCCAGTATGATCGTAATTATTTTTTTCAAAAAAAAAAAAAAAAAAAACCTTAACTAAAAGCTATATAATATAAGGTTTTTTTTTGTTTGTTACCAAGATCCTCCTCCTCCTCCTAGCATCCCATTCCAATATCCATTAGTAGATTGATCTCCAAGACTAGGCTCATTAGCACCATCACTTGTGTTATTTGAAACTTGCTTTAAACCTACAAAAGGAAACAAAAACCTTCCATTTGCATTTGTCTCTTGAAGATTATTGTTATTTCCATAGCTACTATGATGAACATTATTTCCAAGTCCATGATCCAATGAGAAATTTAGAGATGGCATCAATGAAAATCCAGATGAGTTGTATACTGAATTTGGCATTGTCATGAACGAATTACTATTCAACCCTCTCGAAGTGATCCCATTAATCAACTCCATCGCGGAAAGTTGAGATGGAGAAGAAGCTGAAGAGGAAGAAGATGGAGGAGGAGGAGGCAATGTTGAAATATTCGGACTATTGTTGTCCTTGTTACTCCCATCATAATTTGGTACCTGTTCAACATATAACATAACATAACATGAAAAATCTGTAACGTTACTTGTACACTAACATATATAAATGTACCATAGAGACTCTACGATGAACGATATATTATTGTAACTTGAATAGTCGAGTAGTAACTTTTTTTAAAAAAAAAAAGTTGTAACTTTACTAAAACTGTAAAACATAGTGTTGTGTTAACTTGTATATACTAACACATATAAACGTACCATAATTAAAGACTCTACGAGGTACAAAATTAATAGAGAAGTATACTCCTATTAATTTTGACCAAATAATTTTGAAAAAAAAATCTCAAATACCTGAATTAGCTCAGTAATAGTCTTGAAATCAGATGAAAATCCCAAATTGAGATCTTGGCTTCCTTCATGGACAATCTTACTAGGGTTTTGAGCATGATGATGTTGAGGTATAGAAGTATCAGGTCGATTTCCAAAATGCCTTTCTGGATATTCCTCGATATTGTCTCGTTGTGGTGGAGGAGCAACCAAATTATCAGGAAGTTTTTTATTATTTACTATAACATGATTATTATTTGAATTATAAGGAGATGAAGATTTCTTATTTTTTCTTGAACCACCACCAACAGGAATGTTCCTAAGAGATCCACCTTCAGTCCAATATCTTCTACAAGTCTTGCAAAAATACCTTGGTTGAGAAAGACTATAGTTGTTATAATAACAAAACTTTGTGTTTGTTGAATTGCATCTTGGACAATTCACAACTTGGTCTTTTTGTGGTCTAACTAATTTCCTTTCAACACAATTAGGTTTTGATGAACCATTTGTGTTTCCTATTATATCTTCCATTGGCTTCACCAATATCTCCTATAACAACAAAAGGCAAGTTACACATCGATCAGCTAAAAATAATTACATTCACTAGTTTATAAACATATAGAAACATACACTATTTATTTTTTTATCTATATTATGTAAAATCATACATTAATACACAATAAATATATATTTCCTGGCTAATATTTTGATGAACGGCTATTTATGCCAATTTTCCAACAAAAGAGAAAAGGAAAATTAAAGCAATAGACAACATTAAATTTTGATCGATCTATAATTTCAAAAGTGTTACGCTTTAGTTTAAATCTTAGATCTGACTCTAAATTTTACTATCTACATATCAAGAACAACTACTACAATAGCTAGTAATAAACACCATAAAGATTTTTGGATGAGTGCTTTGTACTTTATACTTGTAACTATAATAACAAAAGAAATTGATCTTTTTCACTTTCTCAAAAAAATAATTATAATCACATACATTGAACAAAAAAGAAAAAAAAAGTGTAAAAACATAAGAGTGCTACATATTATATGATGAAAATTAAATAACTAATGAAAATTAAAGAAAAAGTAGGGAAATCATCATCTTTCTCAAAAGTAATGCAAATTTCTAGCTACAAAATTTAAAACTATAATCCAAGAAATTATAACTTAAAAAAAGAATTGTGTATTGTAATACCTGAGGCCATTGAGCAGTATCCATGGATGATGATGAAGAAGTAGAAATTAAAGAAGAAGCAAAAGGAAAAAATTGTGTTTTTTTTTGGAGTGAAAAAGGAACATGAGCAGCTTTATGAGCAAGTGGTTTTAAAAGCAGGAAAAAAGGAATGTTTGAGAGGGTTTGTGGATGCAGTATTGTGTTGCTTTATGTTTGTGTGGGAAAAGAGAGAGAAAATGAATGAGTAAAATGATATTATTATTTTTATTGACGTAGATCGTAATGAGATGATTGAGATTTCATTCACTTTTAATTAGATGAGATGTATCATGTAGTTTTTGGCTTTTGATATTTTACCTTATGTTGTTCAATATGTTTAGGTGGTCGCACTTTGTTGTTGATATTATGATTCTTTGTATATATATATATGTTTCACACTATTTTTCTATTAGTTGTCATGTTTTTTCTTTACTTTCATTTTTTCATTTTATTACTACTTTGATTTACTTTACTTGAGTTGAGTCTTTCAGAAACAATTTATCTATCTCCAAGAGATAGAAATAAGGTGTTGCGTACATTTTATCCTTCTCCGACTCTATTTTATGGGATTTCATTGGATATGTATTATTGTATCGAAAGCATTGCATTAAAAAATGAATCTTGCAATGCACAAAACTGAATTTGTCACATTCTAATGAAAATATCGGAGATCGAATGAGAAATAAAAAACTATTTTTTTCTTTAACTTATTGACTATTTTATAGTAATATATAGTATAGTATTTTCTTAATAATTTGTTAGTGGAAGAATATATGTCTTTGTAGAAAATAATATAATTAAGATATATAATGGTGGAGTTATCTTTTCTGACTAAAGAGGAGCCTGTCATTAAGTCAAATTGGTCTCCTTTTAATATTATTCTTTAGGCATAATAATTATCTTGTGTTTAACATTTTCTATTTTTTGCTTAAAAATTAGGTGACACGTCATTAATCTTGACGGTATATATCTTTTTTATTTGAATGAAGAGTGAAATAGTAAAAAATAGATAATTTGTCATATAAAAAAAAAGTGTATTCACCTATTTCACAATGAACTCATACTAATAAAATGGATATAATTTTTTCCCCTAAAAAAGCACTAAACATGAATAAATTAATCATTGTTGTGAATTTTATATATATCCTTGTGATAATCATGGATTGCAAATATCGTTACTTATTTTGACTGGTTCATTACTAGTTTGAAAGAACAAAAAGAAAGAAAATTTAATGATAGAATCCGTCAAAATTTTGCTATTTAATAATATTTTTGATGAATTTTGTATTAAAAATCGTGAATAAAAACTCGGATGCAAACTTTGAATTAATTGAACGATAAATTTTAAATATCAAATAATTAAATCAAAAATGAAGTAAAAAGAAAAATAGAGGAGGATATTTTTTATCTTGGCCTAAAAAGGTGGTAATTTAAAGGATGGTGACACAAACTATAGAATATAATAGCACTCCACGTTAGAAATGACTAGACTTCATTATCAAGGACCCTCCATAAAGTAATAGCACTCAAAAAATATATATTTAAAAAAATTGCAGTCACACACCATAATTATCTCCATGTTTTAATCAATGGATATTAATTAAGATTAACATTTTAATTAAGTTGTTTTTTAATTTATTAAGTATGTTGTTAAACCTCTCTTTATTGTTCTTTGTCATTCTCCAATTTGGACGATATACATAGACCGTAGCGTTTAAAAGAGTTAGTGTATTTTAATCTGTATGAGGGTCGAAAATATAAATCACTACAAGTATAAGTATTTATTCATTCTTTAAAAATAAAAATTTAATCAAATTTTTTACATGAACGTTAATAATTTTTGAGAATTAATTTATGCGGTTGTTCTTTCAATTAGTCAAATTAAAAATAATCAACAAATTATAATATAGTATATTATATATTGATTATATACCATATATATA